CTGCAATTTTGTATTTTATTTATATTTAATCTGACTTTTTCAACATTTTAAAAAAGTTTCAGTAATCCTTAGGAAGATATTTTGTGAGTATCATTAAATTATGCTGTACATTTATATCAATTTTCTTTCCACTTTTAATGCCATATTAATTGCATCAAAAAGATTGTCCTGTTCGAATGCTTTGAGCGATAATAAAATTTTGATTTTGTATTTTAAACCAGAAATATATGAATTTAATATACCTTTTCTTTCGTCAAGTAATCTACTTTTTTTTTTCGATATTGTTAAAGTAGGGTCACAATTAATAGCATTCATTATATCTATCTGAGATTGTAAAAATTTTAAACTATACATCATTACAGAATCACGTCCCTGAATGCATCTGTTTCTTTCCAGTCTTGCAGAAATAATTTCATTTGCATCTCCAAATAATACTCGAAGAGTTTCGAAAAATTCATTTTCATTTTTTATTTGAATACCGTCTAACATACCTTTTGCTTCTCCAATTATTTTTTGTTTATTAATTAACTGGATAAACATTTGTCTATCTGCAATTGTAAATTTTTTCATTACTGTTAGAATTTGTATAATAAATTCTTCCACGTTCATATTACTACCACTGAAATTATCTACAACATGTAAATATTGTTTTAAATTTTCAATCCTTTCGGCACGTTTATAAAGAGAATGGAAAAATTCATTTTTATCATTTGTTTGATTTATTGTTGCTTTTATAAATTGCCATTTGTCATTAGGAACAGATTGATTCTGTTTTTCCAATTCTTCCTTTGATTTTAATTCTAGAAGTTTATCAATGGTATTAAAACTATTGTTCAAATGTATCAATAGTTTAACCAAAAATTCTGGTTTTTCTTCCTTAAGTTCCATCGTATCTTTATTAACATTTGTCGCCATATTTTTATGTTTTTTTTTCTTTTTCTAATTATAATTCGTCGATTAAAATAAAATTAAAATCCAAACTGAAATTTGAATTAATTGCACCCAGTTTAATAAGATAAGATAAGATAAGATAATACTGTATGAAATAATTATTTTGTACTTACTATAGAATATTTTTAAGTTTTTTAATTTTGTGTTTGTAAAACGATCACGTATTTATATCTGCTACCTTCTTATTGATGTCGACTTAATTTAAAACTGCTGTTATAATTGTTATATGGAAAACTCGTGAAGAAAGTTTGACAGTAAGTACAAGAATAGTATTACGAATAAATATGTGATTATTATCATAAACTAATGTAGAAAGGGAATTTAGAATTTCTAAGATATATGGTGGGGGTGTTTACATGGTTTCTTCAAACAAATTTGTCCAATCTTTTGACTAATTTATGCTTTAATAATAATAATAATAATAAAAAAAATATTTATAAATAAATATATATATTAAAATAAAATAATAAAATAAATGTATAATAAAATCAATAAATATAATAACATAAAATAATACAATAAATAAATAATAAAATAAATAAATATATTTCACACTAATAATAAAATAAAAAAATATATATACTTATAATAAAATAGATAAATAATAGAATAAATAAATATATTGGACACATTTGTTTGAAGAAACCATAGAAATAAAGTATATACATAATTACGTATGTTAAATCGTTAGTTAATTTATAAACGTTTATATAATATGAAAATATGTGTATATAATATATAAATATGAATTTAAATTTAATGACAACAGTTTAGATTTCAATTTGATGTATATACTTATTTATGATATCTTTGTATTACTTTCTTTGAATAACCTCTATGAAATCATTGATAGATATAATTTAAATGAATAAACAAGTACGTGTGATTTGGGTAAAATTTAAACGTCGTTAGATATTTATATTTATGAATAAGAGTCCTTAAAATAAATGTTTTTCGACTTTGAATCAAACTTCAAGAATAAACAAACTGTTATCTAAGGCAACACATAAAATGTTTATATTTCAAAATTAAATCGTTAATATAATAAATTTTAGATTGAATTTATTTTTATTCACGTTAAGTATCCCTTTATTCAAATAAAGATGAATTTTATGCAACTTTTTCTTATCAACTATGTTTTATTGATTATATTATAATATTATATTCATTTCGTATTATTGTTTTTTTTTATATTAATTATATTATAATTATTTATATATTTAAGTTGGTATTATTTTTTATTTTACTCTATTTTATTTTATTTTAATTATTATATTAAAATTGTATTATTTTCTTTGATATTAATTATATTACAATTGTTATATTAATTTTTTATTATTTTATTTTAAATTAATTATATAAAAATTGTTATATTAATTTTGTATTATTTTATTTGATATTAATTATATTACAATTAATGTATTATTGGTTTATAATATTATTTATGATTATTAATATAATATTCTATTAATCTCTTATTAAATAATATATTACAAATTTAAAAACACATATATACATATTTATTATTACATGAAATTCTATTAATAGAAAAATGATCATTTACTAAATTATAGAGAAATGAGTTTACATATTATGAACATCTATTACACTTATAAACGTGTTTAAACATTCATTTCAACGTAGGTCTTCGTAGCTCAAGTGGTAGAGCATCCGTTCGGAAAGCGAAAGGTTTCGGGTTCGAATCCCGACTTAGGAACAAAACGGGTTCTAATAATTGTGATATGATGACAATACGTTATTTGCGTTACTATCTTAACTTTTCATATCCCCTTTAAATCCCTAGGTGTTTTTTCACCAGCTTGTGATTATTTATAATTTCAATAATTATATATATATTATATACATTTTATATATTACACAATTAATAAAAAAAAGTTTCGTTTAATCCGCGTGTTAAAAAAGAAAAATATTATATTCAACAAGTTAAAAACGCCATGTCCGCTATCGGTGTCGGACATTCGCGATATTCCGTTAGATCACGTTTTAGTCACTGCTACCTTAATAGAGTCTAACGGTATGTCTAAAGTAAAATAATATGGCATGATAGGAGGAGGAATTCCTTAAAAATGTGAACCTTTGTGGCTTCAAGAGAATTTCCTTTACGTATTTCCTCAACGTATATTAATTATTCGTTATAAGAAACAATTCTTAATCACTTTATACTGATTTAGGTAATATTATGTGTGAAGTATACTGTCAAATAATAATTATATTAATACAACTCTCTCTTGTAACAATGTGAAAAAAATGAAAAGAAAAGTTTAAATTATTCCAAGTTTTGCGGATTTTTCGGAATAATAATAAATATTAATTATCTAACTTCAAATTCATATTTAAATGTCATAAGCTTTACAATGGGATTTTACATTGTGGGATATTCTAGACCTGTGGTTCCTAAGTAGCTCAAATGGTTAAGAGCAATCGCCCGGCAAAATTTGTTAAACCCAACCCCCTCCCCAACGAAGACCTTTATTTTTGTTCCCTTTTTTTGGTCCTTAACATTATTTTTTTTTTACAATGATAAAGGTTATCGATATATTTCTTATTATTATATTCTTGTAGAACATATTAGATAGCAAATTGAATTGTAATTTAATGATTTGTATTTATATTCCGATCATTTATTTTTATTTCATTTAAAATGTTACAAAAAGAAATGAAAAACAAACAAAGAATTAACAGAAATATTTATTAATATTTATAATATGAATTACATAATATATTACATAAATTACATAATTATATTATATAATAACAAATATTTTTATAATATTAAATACAATTTAATTTAATATAATATAATCTTAATATAATTAATT